AATTTTCGTCAATTGCTAGAAACATGAAAATTGGATAATAATCAAATTTTGATTACACAAAAAATATTAAACAATTTCTAACAAATACAAAGTAGGCTCTGATACCACTGTTGGGAATCTACTTATCATGCGCAGCGAAAAATAAAACAATTTTCGATTTCTGCCAGGATCCATTTTTGTGTTTAGGTAAAAATTGTGATAAAAGTCGTACATTTTTCTAGATCTGCAAACCCTTTTGCTTTTTCTTTGTTCCAACAACCTTGATTCGCCATCCACAACTGTCCAATTGTCCAGCCTCTAACAGTGATCCACACAGATAATAAAATTGTAGTATTACGATTTTTCTTGTGCTAGCAAGAATAATGAAAATTTTCTACAATTTTGAAAACCCTAATCATATTTATATAAACCCGAACAGGTTTAGCCTGACCCGGTCCAACATTTAATTAACCCATTTAACTAAATCGGTCTGTGTATTAATTAATCCAATTAATTAATTCAGGCATATAAATAAGCAATTTAATTAATTAATTTATCCAACACTTGTTAAATTAATTAATTGACAAATCACAATCTTTCAATTCTCCTTTTGTGTGCGACTCATTAGGTTCCCTATCACGATACCCAACGACGTGAAATATTATTTTGATCTGATCAAAATTGATAAATTAAAACACCATTTTAATTTATCACCAATTCATATTCGTCGTCCCAAATTGACATCTAACAATGTGTCAGGACAATAAATGTGACGAGAAATGTCACGTGGTATGACAAAACCAAACTCGTTCGTTTACGGTGAAACTATAATCCATTCGTCAATATAATCCGATCAATTACGAGATATGGAAGTGTGTCAATCCTGATTATCGATCATATCTTTCACTCCACTATTAAGTCAATATAAGTCGAAAACTCATTTTCAACTTATGAGTACACATTGGTTAAAGATTTCCTTATCGACTTAATTGAATGAAACGCAGATCATAATCTCCTACTATCTAAGAGTGACGAATCATCTATTGGTCATTCACAACCTTCATACGATTCTTGACATACTCGAACGATGTCGTATTAGCAGCTCTTGGCAGAGCAACATCCAACACCGTCAAAATATGACTGTCCTCATATAAGGTACCATGACGACCTCAAGTCAAAGGACCAATTCCACTACCGAACGTTAAAAATTAACCACTGACACTCAGATAGTTATCCATGTAGAATCTCTCGGTGAGTCTCCAATGTTTTGTTCTATAACAAAACATCAACGTGTTTATTTAAGTGTCACCACACTTTAACTTGCGAGATCAGCTACTTACTTCACAAATAAGAATTGCCACAAGTGATGGTCTATCCATGATAACAATATCCATATCTCGTAATGACTTACGACCACAGATGATTTAAGATTCAATCATATGTAATTTGTATCTCACCATCACAACTTCTTTTGATTAACAAATTACGAAGATTTGAATCTACGGACTCTATTATTTAATTTTATAGTCTATTAATTAAATAATAGATCTGCTATTAAATTACATTAATTATATATTAAAAGTATTTATGTTCAAAGTTGATTGGACTTAGGGTATAGCACTTACGGACATGTCCATTGAACCTATTTAGGGATGATAGCCCATGTTAGGGTGAGACGGGATCATTTGTGATGTTAATTTAACAGATGTGAAATTTTACTTGATATTTGTTTAATTGTTTTACATGAAATAGGGAGCTCGGAGACAATGCTACAATTGAAGGCATAGAGAAAGCAGGACATTTGGTTCACATAGAACGACCATGCGTCTACAATAGGTGTCTCAACAAATTTCTTGCTTCCTTCCATGCACATGCAAATCAAGCCAAATATGAAGTTTAATTCAAGTCTCCGCTCATTTTTCTTCTTAATTTCCTTGTGTAAAAATAATGGAGATTTAATTGTTTATATGTCATGGAAAACTATGAATTTGGTGTATTAATTCATGCTATTGATTGACTTTAAAAAAGGTTAGAGAATGGGTTGGTGAGAGTGATTTAGATTTGAATTCAAACTATTAAACTCTTTTGTGCGGATGGAGGGTAATTTTTTAATACTATTTGTCATGGATTAAATGAATAACCCATATTACCAAGAGCAGTTAATCATACAAAAAAAGAAAGCAAAAACAAAAATAACACATGACGTAACTTGTTTCACTCTCAATGTGAGATCTATATGCATCCGTCGAAACTACATCATATCGAAGAAGAGAATTACAATATGTTTTGAATTCGTGCATCTTTATGTTGTCTCTCTACTATGATACACATAATGGATACTCGCCCTAATATCCTTTATATGGAGGGAATTCCTTGGATGGTTAGAAATCTAACATTTGTTTACCATGTTTTGAGCATTTTCAAAAACTAGTCGCTATCACGTGCGTTACACGAATTTTGTATATATCGTATTTTTATTAGTGTATGAATTTTAGTTTTTATGGAAAGTTTTTGAAGCAATATCTAAAAATATTTTCATGATATAAGAAAATAATTGTAAATTATTTTTACAATTGCATAACAGTATGTTATCTAGAAAAAATATGCTTGTATATTTCATACTTGAATAAGAAATATACAAACTATTTTGCTTGTAGTCTTTGATAATGTTGATATGATTGAATTGAATGTGAAGATTATATTTCTAAATTTTGTGTAATTCAATATTGTAAAATTGAAAAATAAAACTCTACGCACAGTACAAAGTAAAAATAAAAAATAAAAAAATATGTGGAGAGAAAAAACCTCTCTTCACAGTGCGGAGAGAGTTGAACAATGTACGAAGAGTTGGCAAACTTTTCGCACGATGAGGAGTAAAATAATAATAATAATAATAATAATAA